GCGCCCCTGCCGCCGCTTCCCCTTCCACAAGCATTTACAAATCCTGCGAGCCATTAGCACTGACGTCCTTTAATTTCCCCTTTCCATTTGACTCCAAGACAACGTCTCTGTAGGGCTTTCCGTTTTATTGACGGCACTGGGGCATCGCACTCGGGAAGCATTAAGAGCACTGTTAAACTAAATTAATTACAGCGCATACAGGGACCCTGCCGCCGCTTCCCCTTCCACAAGCATTTACAAATCCTGCGAGCCATTAGCACTGACGTCCTTTAATTTCCCCTTTCCATTTGACTCCAAGACAACGTCTCTGTAGGGCTTTCCGTTTTATTGACGGCACTGGGGCATCGCACTCGGGAAGCATTAAGAGCACTGTTAAACTAAATTAATTACAGCGCATACAGGGAGATTATTCCAGCTCCGCAGGTATTTTCCCCACACAGCTGGATCAAGAGATAGTTCTTGCACAGCACAGAGGGCAGGTCTCACCCCTCGTCATGCACTGTGATCACTGTATTATTACAAAACTGGCCAATCAAAATTTGTATGCATGCTAATTAAAACTCTATTCTAGAAAAAAAACTATTCTAGAAATGAAATTAGGTCATATCATACTGCCATTTTTTAATAATACATCCTACCTTGACAGCATCAAGCTCTGAGGACTCAAGCTATTCTTCCAAGTCAGTGTTGTGCATTTGTCAGAAAGGGTAGTATAATTATCAAAAATCTCTCAGTCTGAGATTTGAACTTTATAAATATCTCCTTTTAGCAACCAAATACCAGCGAATTACTACAACTCGGCCCTACTGACAGCTTAAGCTGTAGTTGCTTATTTTGAACAAATACAAATCATTTACAAAGATTTGTCATTCCAAAATCTGCAATTAAGTGGGCTCTTACCCTTTAATTGTAAGGATCAGATTTCTTTTTAACATGCAATATAAATTTCAAAAGAGTCTCATCTATGAACACAAACGCAATAAAATATTACAACTTGATATGGGTAAACACAATTTCTGGCTTTGATAACATTAAGATAAATCAAAACTGCAATGCCTCAGTTTTTAGACAAGATCAAAGACCGATAATTTCTCACAACATCACAATAAAAACATCATGTTGTTTACATACAAATAGTTCGGAAAAGCAAGAGATTGTACCCATCATTGCCTCTATATAACAAAGGAAACTGATTTCAGGCAACAGTAATTTTCAGATTTTTCTAAATACATATGTAGAAAGATATAATGGGGACAAGCACTATCATCACAATGTTTAGTGATATAGCTACAGTATGTTAAGATAACCACTTTTTTGTTACAGGTCAAAATTTATTAAACAGAAACTTTATGGGTTTCTTAAGATTCCTTTCTCCACTTTCATATTCAGACTTCATTTTCAACATGACTCTGACTGAACCACAATATAGCTCACCAGATCACAGTGATAATTGCTTGGTAACAGACATGAATCAAAATCCATAATTTGGATTGAAGCTTAAAAAAAAAAACTAAACTTTTAGAATAATTCTTATTGTGTAATTGCTTTCAGTATTCCTCTGAGAACTTTGTAACTCATTAACTGTTGACTTTCTTTTGGAGGAAAGCAGGGTCCGCGTTCTGTCACATACGCATAAGGAAATCTAAGCACCCACAGTCCATCAGATGGAAGGGTTATCTCCTGCTTCTCAGGGTAAAACACAGGACAAGGTGGTGGCCCTGGCTGAACCTGAAAACAAAACAGAGATGTGAGCAGATAAACACTATTAGAATAAAAATCTAAACCAAAGAAGTCTAGCAATTCTTGGCTACAATCAAGGTCCCCCACACTCATGCAGTGCTGAAGATTCTGGGAGCAGATCTCAGTATTGTAGCGCACAGAGCCCTGAACTGTTAGTCTGCTCCAAAAACATCAGTATTAATGTCAGGTTTTGGTCAGTACTGTGCTTCAACCTTGAAAATAAAGCAAGTGGTATCTGCGTTGCTGAAGGTGTCCCATAAAAGAGGCCAATCCCATCATTTCGCGACTCAATAAGGATCTTGTGGCAATTTTCAAAAGCTAGAAAGGTTACAAAACGCTCTCAATCTGCTTCTCTTCCCACCATTATATGGAATACAGGCTGTTCTGACTCTCAATCAGTAACACTATTATACAGTGAACGCCAACACAGTTTTTGCCCTATTCTAACAAATAATAGGTAAACACATGTACACTTGTTCTTATTTTAATCTTTCAAAAACTGTTTGGGTAGCTGTTGCCCTTTTCTCTGCTTCTTTAGAACACCCTTGGAAACAGGAAAAACTCTTCAATTAAAGAAATCTTTTTACCTCCTAAATTCAAAGGTTAGCTAATAATAATAATTCACCTTAGCAGTGAGTCACTGCTTTTTTCTATGACATTTAAAATGTTAATTCTTACATAGTCATTGCTCACTTGTGCTGCAATAAATTTTCTTTTAAAAGTTCACATCTTCTGTAGCAGTTATCTTAAGAGTTTCAATCCAATGGAATGCTCTTAAGTCACCCTTGATAAAATATTTCTAAAACGTACTTTCTAAGGCATAAGCCAAACTTAACATTAAAGAACAGCTGTTTAGAAGACAGCTATAGCACGAGGGCAGACTTTCCTGTTCTAGCTATCAAGCCATTTCCAATCTGAACTGAGAACTGAAGAGGAGAAATTTGTTGCTAAGGCCCAGTCACTGGCCTATCCACCAAAAATGTTAAGTGGCAAAATCACTTTATTATGAACCCATCTGTTAAGCAGTGAACTCAACCTTCCAATCTCTTTTACCCAGACAACCAACAGCCCGACATTTTAACTGTTGCTTTTGTCCACTACTGGCTTAAGAGAACTTGACTGACGTTCTGTTTTGGGTTGGAATAAATCTCTTGTGATAGTCTCACTGAGACGCCTTCCTGCCCTGCAAAGAATGTCGTAACTCTCCACTCTTTCTCTGCAATTAGCAGATTCCCTTTTCCATTTCTTACCTGAGGTGTTAAAGTTATTTGCAGGGGAGCATCAGGAACCACCACGAAGAGTCTCATAAATTGAGCATAATGGGGCTTGAGCCCTCGTCCCTGAGTAGATGACAGGATGTACAGTGGCATGTCGGAATTGAGGGCCTTGATAGCAGATTCCTTTGGCCCCCCTCCCATCACCTTCATGACCTTATCAGGCCCCGAGCACATGAACCGCCTCCCACGTGCATCTTCATACTCAAATCCCACAAAAGCTCGAGCTATGTCATCTCTCCGCCTTCCTCTTCCCATCACAACTGCGCTTCTCTTCCCAGGAACAGCTTTGTTAGGTGCAGGCCACGAATTGGTGTCCAAGTCTCCTTCATCTTCAGTTCTTGTTCTGATGACTATATCCCAGGGCATTAAATAGTTCGTTCCTGGGATAAAGCCTTGTTGGTCTAGGCCGGTGTGGAAGTTGTAAGCCTTAGCGGGGCCAAGCTTGACCAGTGCCCAACTGGAGAACTTGGGCAAAAGTCCTTTGGGGCAGTTGGAATGGAGCATCCCAGGGAGGTACTCGACAGTGGAGGCCTGGCGATCGACCAGACTTGGCCTCTTCTCGCTTTTGGAGTCACCGCTCTGCCCGTGGCTCTCTGCGTTGTCACCTCCACCCTGGGGGTCAGGTGGGTAAGTGCCCAAGCTGCCCGTCGACTGACCCAGGCTGAGGGCTAAGCTCAGGCCTGTGCTTTCTCCCTGAGTCTGAGGCTCTTTTTCTTTCAGTTTCTCAATCTCTCCTTCTGGAGGGGCAGGCGATGCCTCATCCCTAGCAGGTGCTGGATCAGGAGTGCTGGGCTGAAACACGGGGAAGTTGATGTGCTCCAGTTTCCCACAGCATTTTTCTTCCAGCAGCTATGAAAAAGAATATGCAATTAATTCGATTAATTTTACATCTTCCATCTCAGTGATGGGGGAGTTCACGGTCATAACATTTGGTAGGTATAATTTAGGATAGCAAAGAGACTAAAAAAGAAAAGATGATTCAAGAGGAACATTCAAGAGGTTTGCACAATGTGAGAATAAAAGCAGGCAGAAGCACAGCTCATGCATACGATGGATTTAAAATTTCCATGGACTGACATACTTGCAGTGTAAAGACGCTCCTGTCTGCATGCAGCAATGGGGACAGAAACTGCCCATTCTGTTCACCCAGTTAAGCACAATTTCTGGTCTCAGAAATCCTTCCTCCCAGACAATATTTGCACATTGATAGATTCAAAAGGAAAGTTTACTATTGGTCACTTCAGGATACAGGCCTTGCTGATAAAGCAAAAGTGCTGCTCGAAGTAGAGACCGGATAGTTACCTGGTAGAAGTCATAATTAGCTGCTTTGATATCAAAGGGGTCGTCGCGAGGCGCTTGTTTCCTTCCACAGTTACAAGCCCCTGTGGAGCGAGCCCGGCTGTTGTGATACAGAACTGGAGGGTTTCTGTCTGCTTCTGGCTTCTCCCCTGAAAGCAAAATCAATGAAATCCAAGAGAATTAGCTTACATTTCTAGAGAGTGTTTCCCTTCATCTGCTGCCTATATACATATTCTCCTTGCTATATACATATACAAAGTTATTTGCCTGCAATGCCAGGTAATTGGGAATTCCCTCTCCCTTTCTCACATTCACTACAAGACAAAGTGAATCCTCTTTGCTTTGACAAGCTCTTCCTAAAAAGCATATAGTTCTTCTGCCTGCAATAAATGTAATTTAGACAGTTTCTGCTCTTTGTTCAAGTCAATCAAGTCATTGAAAAGGATGAGAGGGCACAAACATTTTCAGATAAGTTTTGTCCTATTTTATATCTCATTAGGACTCAAATGTGGCATCCCTAATTAGCACAGACTTAAATCAATGTTGCTAACAGTGAACTCACAGCCAAACATCATTCAACTAGAGGAGAAGTGTTTTCAGTTTGTTTCAACATCACATTCAGGGGACTCGGCACAAGAACATGAGAATAATTATTGAACATTGCACTTTTATAGCACTGATAACAAAACACAGCTATTCATCACTCTACGGTTTCTTTTATATTCTAAATCCTATACAATGCAAACACATCAGACACTCCCACACGTGCAGGAAGTTGCAAAAGAGGCAATGAATGAATTAACCATGAAAACCAAACTATTTCCAAATCATAATGGTCACCCATGATGGGGATTAAGCATCTCAGCAATATAAAAGAAGTCTGAAGAACAGCTCTACTGTAATCAAAGCTTTATTTTCTTAGAGCAAGATTAAACCTGTTCGGTTTTCACCTTCTGTATATGTGCAAGGGGCTCTGCGCTCAGCTTAAGACAAGACATTTTCAAGTGCAAACAGAATTAAAACATGAGAACCAACCACAAATGAGTTTCTTTACCTGCCTTAGGGAGCAAATGGAACTTATGCACGCAGTGCTGGTCAGTTAAGCTTCGCTCTTCGCAAAGCTGATGCCCGTTGCTCCAGAACTTGTAGCAGTCCTCGTTGAGCTGCATGGCGTATTTATGGAAGGCCGGTCCCCGCGCGTGCTGGCTGTACACGCGCAGCGCTTGGGCCAACTGGTTCTTATGGACTGTCATGGTGTAATTATGGGGCAGATTGGATTGATACGCGCTGTGGGCCATGGGGAGAGCTTTCTGGCAACGGTTTTCAGAGAATTTAGTGTCTATATCTAAATATCCTTCCAAGACTTTGATGCTGCCCATGATTTTGGAACTCAGCTCCCCAGTGAGAGAAGCGGGGTCGTCGTCTTTGCCTTCAATGGTCACTTCGTACAGTTTTAACGCTGCAGCAACCCACTTCTGGTAGGTCGGGAGCTCAAAGTGAGAAGGCTGAGGGTTCCTCCCCACGCTGTCGTCGAAGCCCTTCTTGCTGAGCACCAGCTCCACGTGCTGCCACAGGAACTCCTTGAGGGTGCAGTCCACAAGCTGCCCAGAGGAGCTGGAGCTGCTGCTGCTGCTCTCCGCATAGAAGGACAACTGCTGCCTGCCGTGCCTCATCATCTGGTACCTCCTGGGTCCGGACAGGGTGGGAGCCAGCAGTGAGTCGGTCTCTCTCATGGTGCAGTTGCTCCTGAGCTGGTCGAGAAGCATGGCCACCGGATCCTCCCCATCCTGGGCCCCGCCGGCCACGATGTAGACAAAGGCCTGGTTGGCAGGCACGGTGAACAGGCAGTTGATGCTCTGGTTGGTGAGCACCCTGCTCTTTCTGAAGATGCGGTAGATCTGATCCTCCAGCGCATGCTGCAGCCTCCTCTTAGGGGAATGCTTCTTGGGGGGCGGCTTTTCCAGGTGGCCGCAGGGATCCTGGCCCCTGCCTGGGGGGGGATCCACCTTCAGGGTCCCATTGAGCTGGAAGAGGAAGAGGAGGCGCGGAGGGCAGGGCCTGCAGTTGAGTTTCCACTCCTTGCCCACTGGGCAGTCCTTGATGGCAGCCTTCAGGGAGGGCAGCACCTTCTGCCGCAGCCCGTCCAGCGCCCTGAAAACGCGGTCGTAGGTGATGTCGAAGGAGCAAGTGGGATGCACCAGCAGCAGGATGTGGCACACGGAGAAGAGGTAGAGGAGGCTCAGGCAGTGCTGCTGCTCCTGGTGCTTC